CGACGACCGTCCCCTTCTCGCCTCCTCCTTGCGGCGCATGACCGCCTCCGCGAAGGCGGCCATCGCCTGCCAGGACTCCTCCCGCTCCGCCATCTCTCACAAGTTGGAGGAGGGGGGAGGTCCTGGCCAACCTCCACCTGTAGTGCGTGGCGGCGCACCGCCCAGGACGGACAGGCCCGGAGCGTGTGCACCACCGTGTCCACCGCTCCGCCACCGCAGTGGTAGCAGGCCTCCGTGGCTTCATGGCCCAATCGATGCAGGTACTCACCGAAACATCCATGTCCGGTGAGCACCTGCGTGAGCTGGAAAGTGGTTCTGCCGTGCCCGCGATCCACCCATTTCTTAAAAACAAGTCGTGACATGACGTGACACGACGTGACACGACGTGACACGATGTGACAAGTCGTGATAAATCGAAATTAAAATTATAATCAGTTGATAACAAATTGCATTAGTGAAAATTTACAAAAAACTTTTTATTCAATAAAAAATAAAAATCACTACAATTTTTTTTAATGAAAACATTTTTTTATGTGCCAATCAATGCATATGAGAATTCTCTTCAAAAAAGTATTAGAGGACTTAGGTCGAAAATTGATTAGCTTAGAAGTTATGAGTTTTGTCCCGTACGCCTATATACGCGAATCACTCTGTGACGGCAAAAAACCATTTCTCTAAGCCTTATAAAAATATCGGTGCAAAGTCAAATTTTTTTGACAGTGACCGATAACCGAGAAGTCACGTGTAAGCATTTGTTCGATCGCGCGCGGATGAGGCTCTGTTCTTCGTCCCTGAGCGCGGGCTCTACGCGCGCTCTGATTGGTCAGTGTTTTTCGTTAATAATTCAAAAATGAACCTTCAAACAACATTTTGGTAAAGGAAAAAGTTGTTCAGAGTTACCCCAGCAACCCCCTATTTCCGGGTGTTCGAGGAGTTACGGGACACCCTGTATATTGATCTGCATATAAAGTACTATAGTTAATAACTACACGCAGCACATACCGGTTGGCACCAAACATTTTGTATATTACAATCTACACCAAGAATTAGTTAATTGAATGTATCGTTTGTATATTAATAATTTTTCAACGTGCAACATTGTTTTGTAAAACGAAGAAAATGTTTAAAAAGTATGTACGTCAGTTTATAACTTAAAAAGAACATAACCTTCATTTAGCAATATTAATATTATTACTGTTAATATTTTAATAGATTTGACGAGAAAGATAGTGTTTCTGGTATACAACAATTAAAATCATCAGTTCAAAAAGGAATTCGTTCGAAACTTTTGGAACTTTATCCTCACTTGGAGAGTTATGTGGATGCTATAATTCCAAAAAAGGATGCTTTTCGAATTGTAAAATGGTAAATCCTTCTAAAATTAATGTAATTTGAATTTTGTATTAAGTAATTATGTTTACATTTATTTTGTGATTAGTCATGATCACATAGAAATTATAGTAAATGCAGCAGGAGAACTTTTATTTTTCCGCCAACGTGAGGGACCTTGGATGCCTACCTTAAGATTTTATATTTTAACACATTTAAAAATTTCAGACCCATTCTTTTTACCAATGCAACAAGTTGATAAAGGTGCTATCCGGTTTGTTCTTAGTGGAGCTAACATTATGTGTCCTGGTTTAACCTCGAAAGGTGCAAAGATGACACCTGTAGAAAAGGGAACAGTTGTTGTATCCTTTGTTAAATTAACAAATTGTATTTGTTGTTTATCATTCTCAAAATTAAGGCTATTAAATTCTTAATTAAAAATATAGGCTGTTATGGCAGAAGGCAAGCAACATGCTTTAGCTGTAGGTATTACTACATTGTCAACAGAAGATATGTAAGTAAATATAATATATGATGTTTAATATGTGAAATACATGAAAAGTGCTTTGTGCATTATAATAATATAACTTACAGAGTTAAAGTGAACAAAGGAGTAGGCGTAGAAAATTGTCATTACTTAAACGATGGACTTTGGCAAATGAAATCTGTGAAATAAAAGACTGATGTATATTGTTCAAGATGTAATATACAAATATCTTAATTATTGTATAAATGCATTTTTTGGCATTTTTAAAGATGAGATGTCGAAGCTGTGAAGTAATGGTACTAATCATAATATTGCTCTCATAATAAAAAAAAATTAATAATGCATTTTTATTGTACAAATTGAATGAACGTGACAATTTTATTATAATTATTTAAATGCATCAAAAATTATTCAAATGTAATTCTGTGGTTTACATAAATCAAAGGAAATCTATAAATAGATGTATGCAGTTATAAAAAATAATTAACCAGATCCTGATTTAATATCTACTTGGCCTTCTTGATTTTCTGGAGGAACGGAACGTTCATTTTCACAATGCCCCGATGCTGGAGAATAAGATGAATTACTAGCATCAGAAGTTGGTGCAGAAGCAGTGCTTGAACCAGGTACACTGTTATTAGTAGTATTATTTTCTGCAACAGCATGAGGAGATTGTGGGTGATAATGAGGACTGTGCGGGCTGTGAGGGCCATGGGTATGAGGGCGGCCTATGGTGTGTGGCGAGTATTGCGAATATGGTTGATGGTAATACGGGTGTGCGTATTGAGGATATGGTTGATGATATGGTTGTTGCTGAGAGTAAGCATAAGATGGATGCGGAGGTCTTGGAGCTAATGGAACATTTTGAGCCTGCTGGGTAGGCCCAGGTTGATACTGTTGACTGTAGCCTTGATTCGGTGGAATCATCTGAGGAGTATGTGGATTAGAAACTGGTCCTTGAGATGGAAGCACCTGTGTTCCCTGGGTTCCTTGGGTTCCTTGATGAGGTGGTATTGAGTGATTAGCTAACATTCCTTGTTGATGAGGATTATGTTGTATAGGAGGAGCTGGAGAAGAAACAGGAGGCATAGTCGATGTATTTGCAGTTGCATTTGCACTTGTATTAGCAGGTGCAGCAGTCACTGTTGCTGTAGTAGTAGGTTGTTGTGGTTGTAAAGAAAGTGGTTGTGATTGCTGAGTTGGTTGCTGTTGTTGTGGATGCTGCTGATGTGGTGGCTGTTGTGGATGCTGCTGATGTGGTGGCTGTTGATGTTGCTGGGTTGGTTGTTGCTGTGGTTGTGAAGGTTGTTGTTGTTGTTGCTGCTGCTGTGATGGTGGTGGCGGCGGTGGCGGTGGCGGTGTTTGTTGTTGTTGCTGCTGTATAGGACTAACAGTTCCACAATATATTCCAGAATTGGATGTATGTTGATTCGAGTTTGCTTGAGTTAGTGGTGGTTCAGATTTATTTTCCGTATATGGTGGAGAAGATGTTTCTTTCTTAATTTCAATATTAGGTTTTTCACATCCATTTGTTTTTTTATCCATTGTATCATTATCAGGCACCTACAAAAATTATAATTGGTGACTGCTAGAATAAAGATTGTATAAGTAGTACTTACATCAGATGGTGTTTCGTCATTAATAGGAGCAGGAGTTGGAGTAGGAGTAGAATTCGGAGTTGATTCGCTTGATGCAGGCCCATCTGAACGATTTTCTTCAGCGCCTTTTAATCTATCTCGTCTAAGCGCTTCATACTGTCGTTCTACCATTTTATTAAATGTTTCTTCATCCACTGCTGGTTTGCAATGCTAAAAAAAATTTGGTCTGTAGTTATCTTAATGAAAAGTAACTTACTGTTTTACTGATTTAATTTACTTTTTTCAATTCTTCTTGAAATATTTCACTTGTCTCAATAAATTTACGTTTCTTTGCTTCAAATTTTTCTTCTATTTGTTGTAATTCTGCTTCAAGTTTTTTCTATAATATTCAAAGTTTTAATGTAATATTGCAGTAAGTATATTTTATTCATTAATTTAAATTTGTTTATTGTATTTACATACCTGATGCATCGTTAAAGACTGCACTTGACGACGCAGTACTTGCATTCGTTGTGTAGTAACAACAGAACGAACATCAGGAACTACAGTGTCACTAAAAATTTCATTAATAAGACGGTGATTTCGAGTGTATCGGGAGTATGCAACATGTTTTACGGAATATCCATCATCTTGGTCTGTAAAACAAAAACACGTATATAACTTTTACTAATATAATTTATATAAATGTATATACCATCATCATCTTCTGCAGGTAAAATATCTATTCTTCTATCTTGAGCTGCTTGTCCTTTAGTACTGCCTGATGAACGTTCATGACTTTCTCGATCGTCATTATTTTGTTGTGCAGCGCATAACGCTATAATTAATATAAAATAGTACTTTTGTATAATATGTGTGTATGTGTATTTATTAACATGAAATGTTTACCAGATTTTCCCCTGTTTTTTGCTGCAATATAAGCTAAATATGCAGGTGAGTTGTGATAAGTTTTCAAACTCTTTTCATATTCAACCTATTTGATACATAAATAATATTTATTTTTATAATTGTATATTACA